TGGTACTACCAAATTCATCATTTCAAAGTGTTACATTTTATAAGGTTACCTACGAATTGCAGGAGTTTTATACAATTACGTTTTTTTTTTTTTACATGGTACCGCACCATGCTGGCCCAAGTGACCCTCCAGTAATTACCATTACATGACTGTTGTCATGGTAAACGGTTAAATGTTTAAAGTAGGTTAAATGTTTGCGTGGTGATGTCGTTTTGTAAGTTTCCGGAGAGTATTATCAATCAAGTCGACTTTTATCGATTGTTTTCTCCCTGATAGCTTAGACATGATTTTTGGAGGAAACAACAATTTCGAAAAATAATCTTGAATGAAATCTAAATTGCATGGACTTGCGGGACAATATGCATTACCCCGAAGTAAGTTACTATATGGTCTTTATGTGAAAAAAAAGGCGGACCATTGGCCTCATCACTCTTTAATCTCAGCGAATGATAGGAAACTTAATTGAGGGTTGAGATGAAGGACCGGGCTAACTGTTAAAGTTCAAGAAACTTTAGGATACCCTTCAGTGCATTCTGTATTAGCGATTCAGTAGACTATTATTATTAACTATTATTTCCTCTTAGGTAATAAACAGAAAGGTCCCATTTACATTTTCAAAGTCAATCACAGCAATACACTATCCTATCTTCGATATTCTATTTCAGCTACAATTGCCGATTCAATCCAGAGGTTAAAACTGTTTAGATAGATCATTATTATTTGAACGGAAGACCACAAGAACAGAGAAACTACAAGTATCCCTTATATCATTAGCTACTATATAGACGTTTAGCTGATCCGACCGTCTTTTTTTTAAACGTTTTTTTTGAAAACGTCTTTGTTTTTGATATTTATATCCAGTGTGATGGTGGCAGGTACTCAAGTGACAAAGTGTTCTATGTAATACTGTAATTAACCGCATCATATTCTACGTTTAGCTCCTAATCTGGCTATTATTAATGAGGATTCTAAAACTGACTTAACAGGCTCTATTAGCTATTTAGTGTATAAATTGATGAAAGCTAAGTAGGTCTACCCTCTGCCTGACAACGTTTCTTACTACCTGAATTTACCACAACAATTATATTCAAGACCACAAAACTTGAAAGCCTGGCATAATGCGAAAAAACTACCAATCGAATGGCGATTCAGTCCGCGGTTGCTACAGCAATCAGAACGCACTGTGACTCTCCCCAAACCGAGATAAGGACCTAAAGAAATCCTTGGTTGCATAGAAACAATAGGATATACTATAACTGATCTGTCTGTAAGCTCTAGTAAATTAAAGAGACAATAGGACAGCGTCTTCCACAGTGCAATTTGAACAATAAAAAACTGTTAAACATATTCACGTCGGTGACACACAAGTCCATACAAAACTGGTTTCCATGACATTGAGTGTAGAACTGTAACTATAATGTTGTCCTAATACATATTATATTGAGGGAGAGTGCTTCCACATGTATCTTACTATTGAGGGTTCATGATAATAAAAGTGTAAAGTTGGTTACCGCCTCTTTTTCTCTCTCTCTCTCTATCTTCTCTCTCTCTCTCTCTCTCTCTCTCTCTCTCTCTTTCTCGCTCTCACTTCTCTCTTCCTCTCTCTCTCTCTTACAGGGGTAATTATATCCAGGACATGGACATGGATCTCAATTTCGAAAGACACTATGGAGTCATATTAATGAAAGAGTCCAGTAGTGCACTGTAGCCGGTAGGGTTAGACTTGTTATAAATCTATTGTTGTTAGAGGGTTGGTTATAAAATGTTCTACCGCTACAAGTTTAGCAGGCTATGAGCATGTTTATGCAGTATTATTAATGTCGATGAATGCTGAGTGATCAAGTGCATGATTCATGAGGTCATGGAAAGCTTTGCCAATAGATAAAAGATAAACTTCAAACGATTCGTCTCAGTTTCTCCTGGTTGGCCATCCCTAAACAGTGCAGTGTTGAAGAGGAAGGACGGTTTGTGGTTTTTTTAATACATGTGTTAATTATTATTAACTCCAGGTACCTGCATGATTGTGGGATTCTATAATAAACATTTTGAATTGGAGTGAAATATATCTTTCAAAAAAAACTGTTGTTAAAGTTTCAGCTACAGTAGCATACTCATTGTGATGAATCGGCAAATGAGTAGTGTATACCTACCTGATCGACTATTAAAAGTCCACTTTTTCCGGTCTATAACGGTTACAGCAGTGTTGTATAAGGAAAAAAAACAGCCGACTACTTGCTGTCCGTTCTAAATTTATCATTTAATTTAATAGCCAGCTTAGATATTTATAACAGACCATAACTACGCAGATCTGCTGAATTTCATAGTCTCTTTAGCAGTCGGTAGCCGTCATATTCTGGATCATAGCCAACTATGAGAACATGGATGGATGCCACTCCAAATATTAACAAAGTCTAAGCATGTCTTAATGTTAAATTCATAGCTTATGGACCGGTATTTCTAATATTACTTGATGTATCATGTATAGATATCCTTTACTTAATATCTCATGTACCAGTGTACACCACTATAACAACATGTAACAAAATACCACTCCAACTTCACACACGAGAGAAACTCAACATTTCTCAGTAGATCTCAGCACAGTAGATCTCAGCACAGTGCAACTGAAGAGGATCATCCTGAATGTGAACAATTCTCCGTCTACACGACAACATTTAATTGTACTATCGGGAAAAACAATCGGAACTTAAGCTTTCAACAACAGAATGTGATATATGCACCAGTAATAGTTTGCTTGTCCGAGATTGGTGGGAGTGGAGTTTCGTGGGCGTAATCTCATGTTTAAATTTGGACTTGAAGGCTTTCACTTTTAGAGTTGGACAGGTTCCATAAGTTTACAACGACCATGCCAGATCATGCCAAACACTGTTGCAGTTGTTTGTCATGATACAACATTCCATATTCTGATTTCTATCACACAACTATGATTCAAATTACCTTGTTTCTAGTTTACTATTTCATTAAGAGCTGATCTATATCACAGAGTCCCCAACATGGAACCAGCTAGTCTGTTCACAAAATTGGATTCTATATACGCAGTTATAAACCTTACTACATGTCTTCCAGTCATCCTTCTTAACGGGTTTGTTTTAGTTAAATAATCTTCTTATTTTCCTTACATGGTGGCCGGTATCTATAACTTATACGGGTGTACCGTATAAAGTGTGACTTTTTTCAACTTCAATAGTTTTTGACAGAATTAAACTTCACGGTTATTTTTAAATAAATTTTGTCAGAAATATAGCTGAATTGATAAAAATAATAAAAATAATAAAAAATATGGTTAATAGTTAAGCACCTTCCAAAAAAAGCCACCCAAAAATTAAATATATTTTAGTCTGAAAAAGTCACACTTTCTATGGTACACCCTGTATAATTAGTTATACGGAGATTCCCATAGATAAATAAAATATATGATGAGAATAAAGCTAAGAATCGTTGCAGGTTTGTGATAAAGCACTATCTGAGCCAGTACCGTAAGTTCGTGCCCAGTATGTATCTACTGGTAGCTCTGTTTGACGGTGTTATGGCACTCTTCGTTATCGTCCAGTCAGTCATATTTCTACACGAGTACGGTATAAGGAAGAAGAAGTGAGAAAGAAAGTGAGATAAGGCCGATGTTAAAGAACATGACACGAGGAGGGAAACTTGGACCCCGACCTCTGGACATCATCTCCCCGGAAAACGAATAGGTGGAACTCTTGGTAGCGGTCCTCCTCTTGATAGCGGTCCTCCTCTTGATAGCGGTCCTTCTCGAACTCCAGAGTTGGGGTTCCTGGTGGTCACTACAGCAGGGGTGGTGTCTGTTTTACCGCCTCTCAGTGTTTGTCAACCTTCTCCTTTCAGTCGCCAGAACCATCAAGATCAGGTCTCCTTTCTCCCATATCAACATGCGAGCAGCTCTCATCTCAGTGGGAGTATACGCTGGTGTCTGGTTATCTGTAGCAATCAAAGATTTGGCGAGGGAGCTAGGAGGAGAGAATAACCCGGAGGGTATGGGAAAGTATTATCAGGAAATGAAGCTAGGAGCAACTATAGCTGGGATATTATACCGAACATACGACATTGTGAACGCGAGTACGGACAGTCCAACACACTACGGAGCGAGTCTGCTCTTCATCCTCATCCTCATCCCGTTTATCATCCCGGCACTCATCAGTTTGATTTGCCTTGTCCTTCTCGCACGCTCACTCAGGGAAGAGGCGCCCAACGAGAGCTCCGCAGTGCGACAGAAACATGTCACCACCACTGTAGTGTGGCTCACTGTGGTATTCGTGGTGTGTACTAGTTCCTCCACCCTTTTCTGGCTATTCTACGAGTACATAGGGAACTTGGTGTTGGATTCTCACAGTAGGGATAGCGTGGTGTATAAACGGATATACGCGTTTTTCTCTCTCACTCTACCACTTCTCAACGCAGCGATCAGTCCGTTCATAATATTTGGGAGAAGTCAGCAGTTGAGATCGCAGATAAGGAGCAAGGTGGAGAGAAGTTTCCAGAGTATTAGGACTTGGAGTACATCGAGATCAGGCCGAAGCGGTCGTTCGTAATAAAGATTGACGATACAGTTTAAAATTATAATATCTACGGTTTATTTTATACTGAGATTTCGTAAGGAAATTGAACATCCAGTCGGACTAGTTTTGTCTTACTTTCATGTCTGAGTATACTATTTGTTCCCCCTTGGCTGAGGATTAAAAGGTGATAGGCAGACGATAAAGGTATTTTGTAGTTTTTTCCCGGCTGATCTAATTATTATAACTTGTGTTGGATTTCATTTTTCTCTTAACATATATCTAATAATCAATTGAATCTAAAATTTACCTTTATTTGTTCTTCAAACCCGAAAAAGCTCACAAAGAATGTTATGGAACGAGGCAATCACTTTAAAAATATTTCATGCCGTACCAAGATGCTAGCTTCATCTGACCTTAGTTATTTGTAATTATTTTAAATGTATTTCATATGAGAAGATTTTACTAACCGATATTAGATCTCCCCGGCATAGAAGAGCTCTCCGCTAGAATCTTCTTCACGGCATGCATAACTCCCTCCCTTTTAAAGTACACAGCGAACACTACCGGTTGTTTCTTCATCAATATCTCCGACAGCTGCAGACCGTAAATCACCAACCTGAAAATTCAGAATTTTTACAACTTTATTTTCTGTTTTTGGGGTTTTTATGTTGCAATCGCTAAGTCTTTATTAACGTTGCATTATACACATCATTAATGTAAATTGAGACGTGTGTCGTGTGTACAAGTAATCAATGATTAGTCATTGTAATTTGTAAAGTGCGATCTAGCGTGTACAAATGGACAATATCACATGACCAAACCGTTGGTTGAGTACACTAACCACTCACCCTAACCAGCAAACTAATAACCAAACAGACGAACTAACTTTCCAACACACCTTACAGGTATTTAGCTATTTGTTTTAGGGAAAGATTAGACTTGGGCGTTGTTCCTTAACTTTTTTACAACTTTTATTCAATAACGCACCTGCTGTCTTGGCTGCTCAGCATGCCTGCTACAGTACTAGATAACGGCAGTAACTCCGCAATACTCTTGATTGAGTCCGGACGGGAGTGGTATATTATCCGGAGCAGACAGTGAAGACACTTGTATCTCACGTTGGGAGTTGCGGTGCTGCGGTAAACTTCGAACAGGAGCAACAACATCGTCTGGACAATTAGCTTTGTTAGTTGTAAATAGAACAATTATAAATTAGTCTTATGGTTTTGGTTGAACTATGGGAGAGGAGAAGGATGTGCCGGCACATTTTCGTACAAATCATGGGTTAGTAGTCATATTTCTGTCATATGATCGATCTTCAAAGAAGTGTTGAATAGATTGATAAAGAATAACCCGAACAAATGAGTCATGACCGAAGTCACGAGAATAGCTCATTAGATTATGAAATTGTGGCGCGGGCAGCATGGAAAGGCGTGCGATTGTTGTCGGCCGCAAACTTTGCCTTCCTATGGCACCTAAAAACTAGCAATAGCTTTGAGATGAAAATAATCCGGGTGTGGCAGTTGGTTACCAGAATCACGCAATTATAATGTGGTCAGAAGGTCCCTTACAAAGTCACTAAGTCTTAATGACCGCCATATCTTTATATCAAGTATAAGTGACCTCATTGAGTGCTAAATATTCACCAGAAATGTTTATTACGTAACTGACTGCTGGATCATGTTTGGACTTGCAACCTAAACTTACCTACCGCGCAGTGAAGTGTACAATTACATAGAACGAAAGGTATAAGTAATGTGAGCTAATATAAAATGTAGGTAGGAAAAGTAATTAGTACACAGCTATCAGCTCAGTGTACAGTTATACAAGATCTCACTAACGTTATCAAAAGTTAAAGTATTAATAGTAACACTGAAACATTATACTTTAATAAAAATTAATCAATTAGCTTAATAACTATGCCCTGTTACACTAATGCATCTGTATATCAGATTACAGATATCTAATAATTATCAAGTAATAGTAACACACACCTGACACAGCTCATCATAAAGGGCCGGTTCATCGTTCAACAAAGTAAGCCTACAATCCTCTTTATCCTTATCTTTACTGGCGGAGTGCAGTAACTCAGGGATAAACGTCTTCTTTCTGGACGTTGTAATGTCGTACAGTTCACCTGCAGACATTAGTTTGTGTCACGTGGTGTGATACAGTGCTCTGATTGGTTGGTTTAAGTCACGTGGTGTGAATACAGTCCTCTGATTGGTTGGTTTGTGTCACGTGGTGTGCAAAGTGTGTTCTGATTGGTTGGGGTGTCAGTTAAACACTGATTTATGTGGTGAAATGTTTAACTGGTTGTTAGAGGGCTGTTAACGTAACAACCGACAAATCAGCCGGCTATTAGCCGGTTAACAGCCGGTCGGCATTGTACCTATTTGCCTGTTTAAGTGATGAGTTAGTGTCATGTGGGAACGATCAACTAGCAGTAATGATTTAGAGACTTCTGGAAAATTCTGTCGAATTTAATAGACGTCTACATTAAAAAGACACCTCACACCTCAGTACACTTTTATTAGGGTTTCCCGTTGAAATTCTAGAAACTTCCAGAATGTTTTATCAGACAATTTAAAGTATAATGGTTCTAGACGAAATTTCATGCTACGATTTGTACTTAGACAATTTACCATGTGAACTGAAAAAAAAAGATAGAGATTTTAGCAAGTATCAAAATATACTCGATAGGATTATTTAAATCAAATTAAGATGTATGTGTGTTTTCACTTGATTTGTGTGAATAAGTGAGAACCTGAATCATTAAAATCGTCAGAGAGGTAGTTTAAAATATCATCGCACGAAATATTATCATTAGTGACGTCATCATTAGTGACGTCATCATTAGTGACGTCATCATTAGTGACGTCATCACCGCTGTGATAGGAGTTGGTATCGTGTTGTGAGTGAGGTGAGGTGTTGTCCACTGGGCCTGTGGGATAAGTGTCACGTGATGTGAATGCAGGGTTTTAATTGGTTAATTTGGAACACGTGATGCTAAGTGCTGTTTCTTATTGGTTTGTAGATGATTCACATTAACTCATGGTTTCAACTAATTAGGAGATTTTCCTAATTTTGTGGTCAGTGAATCCAAAATCTATGATCAAAAGTGCGTAAAAAATGTTTGTCCCCATACCAGTTTCTTCATTCTCCATTTTCATGGTGCTGAGATCGAGGGTAAAATCAGAAGCAACGTTTGAGTTTATCTTCATAGCCAGCACAACGTCAGTCTCACCTGTTCAGTTTATTGTTTTAAAGATCTCATTGTAATGGAATTCACAACGTTCTATATAAAGAGGTTTTCAGGAATTCAGAAAGTTTCAGTAATGTGATAAATATAGTCAGGATCTTACTTTTCCGCAGAAATAACTTGTTATTAGTTAATAATAGTTAATAACTTGTTATTATCAACAATGGGTTACCATTCATACGAATCTGGAATGTTCTAACCAACAAAAAGGATTTTCTGCATACCTGAATCACAGCTAGAACTAACGATCTTGTTCTCTTGTTTGCTGAAGCTCTGCCAAGAATCGTGGTCACGTGAGCTATCTCGGTAGAACCACTGTCTGTGTTTCTCTTCATCATTCCCACTTATCAGGTTATCCACGCTATAGGGAAAAAGGCTGGATATTGTTATTTAGCTGATAACGCTGGTGTTTATCATTTAACGATTGTCTAGTCTATGACTCTATGACGCACGTCGCATATTACAAATCTTTTATATAGCATTTTGTATAGAGTCTGGCATCAACCAACACGCTCATAATGTCAACTTCTAGACCTCATATTAGTTCTATCACTATTATCAGCAAATCTTCCTCCCCCGGCCCCCTTAGTCTCCCCCATCCTACCCTTAATTTCCCCACCCTACCCCCTCCCAATCCCCATCCTACCCCTCATAATAAGTAGGATGGGGTGGGGAAGGGGGTAGTTTCCCCATCCAACCCCCTTATAATAAGTAGGATGGGGATTGGGGGCCCTTATTTTCCACTCTGCAGTCTCCCCCTAAGTCTTAGTAACTCACGAGAAAACTCCGTATTTAGGGAGCTGTGGAAGAAGTTCCGCACAAAGACAGAGAATCTCAAAGAGTTCGTTAGAAGAGCGGTGTAGTAGGGTAGGGGTGAGTCCTATCTCTACTGGGGTCTTGTTACCCACTAGTAGCGACCTTATTGTACCACTCGCATCTGTTAGCAAGGTTACAGTTACAGTTACAGTTACAATTACATTCTTACAAATGCATCGTTACAATTACAATAATTACGATAATAACATAGTATAATCGTATAATGTTGTTATTGCATAATTTATTGTAAATATAATATATGTTTCAGAATGATGTAATGTAACGTGATGGAAGTATTTTAAACGGGCATATCCTGTCCAAACCCAAGATGCACTACATGAAGAATTCGTTGTAACTTTGTTTGAAAAACATTAATAGTTACAACTACATTATATTGTATCGATATCGTCGTTCTAGAGAAGACGACAGTAAGAGTTATCAATTAGGACAAAGTGGACAATGAATAAACCGCTTTAACAATAAGGGCATAGTGCGATAGTCAATACACCTTAACCTTAGTGAGATACACCGTAACCATGGTGAGATACACCGTAACCATGCTAAGATACACCGTAACCATGGTAACGTTCACTAGTGGAAACAAACCTTGTTTGATGAACTCGGTAGCAAGACTGGTACAATACTGGAACACAGTAGACAGTATACGCAGCACCATTGTGAATACGTTGGTTGTCATCACTGAGGCTGAACCCACTAACAATAGCTGAAATATTGGGAGGTTACTATCGTGAGGCTTTCAAAAGAAAGTGACAAGATAAAATATTAAAATGCTCTTCCTCTTCACTTGACGTGTTTAAGATTCGTTCACCACGACGGTGACTGGTTAATACTACATATTTCCCCACACTCTCATTTGGGACTCTATCTTTAGATATTAAAACTGTCATAATTGACACCAAGCGATAAAAATAGTCTCTGACAGATTACATGTTACTACTGTGTCAAGAATTAAATTAATATTCTCCTTTGGTTGAACTCAATTTGCTTGTTCAACTAAATTCTACTTATTGTACAAAACTTTTGTCACATTCATAAATATATTTGAGAACTAAATAGCTTTATTGTTGGTAGCTACTAAATCTTATAACAATATCTCGTACAGTGCCAGATCACAATATTAAAGAATCTAAACAATCCAACCACTGCACAGTACAGTTGAAAAGCACCGTCATTAGCTCTAATTAGCTGTAATTATAAGATCTAAAGATAATTATGTAATTATAATTATCAGAACAGGTAAAGTGTTAATGACACATCTTTACCTCAGTAAATACGGGAGATGTTATTAAGTGCTTAATATTCAATAAGAAATGCACAGAACACGTGTAGAACGTTAGAATGGGTTATCCAGTCAGCTAGAGCCACCAATTAGACAAAATGTAAGAATATATGCAATTAGAGCAATTACATTGGAATAATATGCAATTAGATACAGCGAGGGCACGTGAAGTGAGTAATAGAGCGGATATATATAAACGATATACTTAGTATACCATGTGAGCGGAACATGCTATTTAACATGCGGAACATGCTATTTAACATGTAATGCTATTTAACAACTACTTAACTTACATAAGCACACAGCCTTACTTTAGGATACCATTTATCCAACACAGCCTTACTTTAGGATACCATTTAACCAACACAGTCTTACTTTAGGATACCATTTAACCAACACAGTCTTACTTTAGGATACCATTTAACCAACACAGTCTTACTTTAGGATACCATTTAACCAACACAGTCTTACTTTAGGATACCATTTAACCAACACAGTCTTACTTTAGGATACCATTTAACCAACACAGCCTTACTTTAGGATACCATTTAACCAACACAGTCTTACTTTAGGATACCATTTAACCAACACAGTCTTACTTTAGGATACCATTTAACCAACACAGTCTTACTTTAGGATACCATTTAACCAACACAGTCTTACTTTAGGATACCATTTAACCAACACAGTCTTACTTTAGGATACCATTTAACCAACACAGTCTTACTTTAGGATACCATTTAACCAACACAGTCTTACTTTAGGATACCATTTAACCAACACAGTCTTACTTTAGGATACCATTTAACCAACACAGTCTTACTTTAGGATACCATTTAACCAACACAGTCTTACTTTAGGATACCATTTAACCAACACAGTCTTACTTTAGGATACCATTTATCCAACACAGCCTTACTTTAGGATACCATTTAACCAACACAGCCTTACTTTAGGATACCATTTAACCAACACAGTCTTACTTTTATGATGAAATAACTAACTACAAATCTTTACTTACAATCCTGAATCTAACTTATAGTACATTGTCAGAAGAACGATTTATAGTAAATTATAATGGAAATCACAGTAATGAGTGATCGATATAATACGAATATTAACATCAGGAAGATTAAATTCCTCCTTCTCATTCTCATATTTTATTTGAATGTTGGGTTCTTTACATATTTCTTTTCACACAACTGAGTCTAAGTTTCACTTAATCAGCAGTGTTGTGAACACCATATTTTATTACTATTTAACCACTATCTCTCAGCACAATTGCTCAGTTGAAGATGAAAATATTACTGGGTGGCAATTTGTACAGTGATTAGACCAAAGTTACAATTCTGGCGCTGTGCCAAGTTATCGCCCTGGCTATGTGCCCTGTCAAGTGCTATTTAATCTTATTGTTATACGACAGTAAGACTGACACTTGTAAGCTTATTGCAAGGAGGTGTTAGGATAGTTTATATTTATACGTAAATCTATAATAATATATGTATACATAATTATAGTAAGGATATCAATTAGAGAGACAAAAAAAGTGCACCTTTATGAGATATTGGCAGAAATTACGATGAAGTTTTGATATTTATTTATTTGTTTTAGGGAAAGATTAGACTTGGGCGTTGTTTTTAACTATCCCTTGTTTAGAACTTTTATTTACTAATCTTTAAGTACAAAAATATAAAGATAAGAAGAAAGAGGGTAATGATGCGAAATGAAAATTAAACATACCTGCTGAAGATTAGTGATGAGACCGTCCTTGCAGAGTTCCATCAACATGACGGGGCTAGTTTTAAGTTGCTCAACCAGTCTGGAGAATGTCAAACAGCAACTTTCCAGCAACTTCTTATCCTGTTATGGTAGTTTGTGGTGCAGAAAGTGAAACAGAAAGTGAAACAGAATGTGAAACATAACAAGGATCAGTTCACTTACCAACTTAATTTTCAAAAGTTTAAACTTTTCCAAGTCCTAATCTCAAACTTGCAGCTGTTATGTCAGCGAGACTTCCTTAACATTTAACAGTTAAAACTAACCTGAGTATTTAGTTTCGAGATAAGGACAGGTATTGACTCCATGAAGAGGTGCCCATCATTGGAGGTCACTACTTGACAACAGTTAGCTGTGATGTTAAGTGCACTGCGCTGAGCATTTAGCGAGAAGAAGTCAATAAAACAAAGACACGCCGACAAGCCACCCTGGAGAGAGAGAGCTTACTTTCATTATATTATATATCATTTAATATATATTATACATTATATCTGGGGGAGAGCTTCATTACTTTCATTATATTTATTACAATATATTATATATCATAATATATATTATAGATTATACTATATTATATCATGATGATACTACCACAAGATATGATGTAACACAATTGAAATAGCACCTACAAACTCATAGTTACATTCTAATGAATAACCTACCCTAACTCACATGATTAAACCGTGTATTTGTAGTTTAAATGCGCTATATAAGTTACAACTATAATGTGTAGTGTAATGTGAATATTATGACCAATTAACTAATTAATTAATTGTTATTAACTAATTAATGTACTTACAGAGTGGAGAATACTCTTAGCGTGTTTCTTGCTTAGCATATCCAGGGCTGCTAGTGCTTGTTCCGCCACGTCCATACACTGGATACTCTTCAGCTGAGAGGGATATATTATTAACTAATTAGTTAATTAACTAATTAATTAATTAGTTAATTGGGTTATAGATTTAAAGTTGCATGTGAACGTTTACCCGACAGTTAGTAGTAAGCAGAATTTCAGGGCAGCCGGTAAGTGGCATAAGGCAAATCCGCTCCCTCACTCAACAGCCGCTATAATAAAAGCAGCAGGGGAGCAGGCCACTAATTAAACCACCAATTGAACCACTGACCGTATAAGCCGATCTAAAAAACTTAAGCTTCGTCAGCGTTTTGTCGGCACTATACCGAATAACCAGTCCCATTACTTTTACTATACCGTGTTCATGATTTAGTGATTCGGAACTTCCAAACACACAATTTTAAAACCGTGAAAATGTGTAACAAAATCATATTTATATTTAGTACATTTTGTGAAAAAGCGTGTACAATTCCGTCCATCAGACCCACAGCCACACGTCATTCTGAACTTCCAGTCACGATATGAATTATGTATAACCTACAAGGCGCCGTTATAGAACTACACTCTACACTCTACATTGTGCAGCTATATACTCTACAGCTCAATTACAACACAATATATAACTGGTACTGCAGTGGTACACTCTGATCTTACTGCCGCTAACTCGAGTCACGAGAATAAGAACATCGTGATATCAGATACAAGGTATGTGACCTGGGTTCCTAGAAATCACGTACATATGACAGATTATCTGTTCTTAAAATGGGGTAAATATTTCGACAAGAATTAGAGTCTGTGGCTGTGCGATAAAATGTGATCATTAATTGATGCATAATGTGAGAAGCACACAATATTCTGGGCAGAATTTAGATTGAGACAACAAAATTTATTAGAATTTTGAGTATCTGGTATTTGGTATGTGCGTTCACAATATAGTTCTGATATTTCGATAAACATTAAAAACAGTACTTAAACACTACCTACAACAAAAAAAGTGGACAATTTTTGATCAGTCTAAAGTGAAAGTGAAAGGTTACCTTAAGAAGTAAAAAGTGAAAGTGTACCTTAAGACGTAGAAAGTGAAAGTGTACCTTAAGAAGTAAAAAGTGAAAGTGTACCTTAAGAAGTAGAAAGTGAAAGTATACCTTAAGAAGTAGATGGGGTATCGCCTCCACAACATAGCTAGTAGAACGGGGCAAACTCTCCATAATATAGGTCAGTGCACGACACGCCTGAAACAGACACCGTGTTAAAATAGCAAATTTATAGTATTTATAACTGCGACAACTATTAATTAAACGACAATTAAATTAGACGCTGAGAACTAGCAAGAAAGAGAAAGAGAAAGAGAAAGTACCTGCAACATAAGGTGCATGTTGTCTTCAGCGCTGAGAAGGTTTATCAGCAGGGGAACGGACTGTCGGACAGGGAATCCAGCTAGTGTCTCTTCATTTCCCATCACAAGCATCTGCACAAGTTATAAATATTAGTGGTTCAAACTTTCAACTTCGAAGCCTTAAAATGTTTACTGATCAATAGTATTATATTGTATTGATCGAAAATTGAAGCGAAAATGAGAATAAATTAAAGCGAAAATGAGAATACATTTTTTAAAATGAGAATAAATTTAAGTGAAATCGAGAATAAAAGGTACGTCACCTGACAGAGTTCAACACAAGCATCAAGTTGTTGAGCCTCCTGTTTACTCTGAAGTTTACCAAGAAGCTGCTGCGCGTGGGACATGGTAGAGCTGCTCCGGTTAAGGAATAAGTGCATACGTGAGCCAAATGAGGTGAGCACGTGCGGGGGTACTCCGCGCGCTTCCAGCAGATCTTAGGGAAACGAGGGGTGAATAAAGGGTGTTTTTAATATTATATAAATCATTGAGGAGATATGTTAGAACACAGTTACACGGTTAAGCCTCGTCTCAAACATTTATTTAGCTTTAGTAAGGCTCAGTTACTGATTTTGATACAGCTGTAAACAGTTTATTTAATTCAATGAATGAACAAATAACTTAAAAAACAGATCATAAAATTAGACGGATTGGAAACGGAATGGTTTAAAAATTCCTCATTGGGAGAGTTTTGGCGAGGGGGGGGGGGGGGGGGGGGGGGGGTGGGGGTAATCCCTTGATACGCCCATTTGACCAAAAGTTAAGGAATAAATGGGCAAAATGTGCATCATTTTTATCACTTTTCGGTCAAAATCGTAAAATAAATATTCCTGATACCATACTCAAACTCTTTGAGCTGAAATATAGCTATACTTACTAATTATAGGACGGTGATATTTATTTTTAAAAGTTTTCTAGCTGTTTTTAAGCCCATGCCCCTTTCACTACAAGTTGGGGAATAAAATATGGGCAATTCATCAACACGTTGAATTATGAAAGAGAAGGAGTGTACAAGTTATCAAAATAAGAACAAGTTATTGTAACCGTACGCTGAGTTACATGCCGTGAGGGCGTGGCTACTTAGAGCTCCGTATATATTGTAACTTTTATATTATGTTAGTTTTGATATACCATTGATTATATTGAGAATTGTGTAAATGTCAGTTCTTAGAAATTGTGCTTACACGAAGCAACACGGACGGGCGCCTTATTTGTAGGGTAGAGGTAAAAAAGTTACAAATTCAGTGATAATAGCTGAATTGTTAACTGACTCTGTAATCTTGCTATGTCGTCCTCGGGGTTGTTCATATTGTCGTCAGAAGATTCAGCGGGGTTTGTGGTGGACATGGCACTTGTTCCTGCAGATGATCCTGAGGCGATTTTCAACTGTTATGCATACATACATACATACATACATACATACATACATACATACATACATACATACATACATACATACATACATACATACATACATACATACATACATACATACATACATACATACATACATACATACATACATACATACATACATACATACATACATACATAGTACATACATAGTACATACATAGTACATACATAGTACATACATAGTACATACATAGTACATACATAGTACATACATAGTACATACATAGTACATACATAGTACATACATACATACATACATACATAGTACATACATAGTACATACATAGTACATACATAGTACATACATAGTACATACAATATAAATATACATACATACATAGTACATACATAGCATAGTACATACATAGTACATACATAGTACATACATAGTACATACATAGTACATACAGACATACAGACATACAGACATACAGACATACAGACAGACAGACAGACAGACAGACAGACAGACAGACAGACAGACAGACAGACAGACAGACAGACAGACAGACAGGCAGGCAGGCAGACAGACAGACAGACAGACAGACAGACAGACAGACAGACAGACAGACAGACAGACAGACAGACAGACAGACAGACAGACAGACAGACAGACTGACAGACAGACAGACAGACAGACTGACAGACAGACAGTGCTTAGTACCTGCATCTGGTTCTGCTTTGAGTGTGGAGGAACGGGAGGGGGAGGCTGACTGGGACGGGTCCGAGCTCAGTGACTTGTTAACGTTACCCAGAGTGCTTCCTAATCAGTTAATTAGTCGTTCGTTAAATTGTCAATTAATTAGTTAATTAATTACATAGTCAGGTAATAAACTGTAATAAAATAATTGTTCAGTACATAGTTAGATAGTTCATGAATTATTCATCAAAACGTCGAAGCCCTTCTGAAATTAACTAATTACATGCTAGTTTCTCTAAAATGGTTTATATATTGTATATATAGTTTCTCTAAAATAGGTAACGGACGAGGGGTAGAAGAGGAACAAATGGAATTAAAAGTCGTCGTTTTGTTAAGTCCGACATAATTATAATGGAAGAATTAATACCCACTAATACGATTCTTTAATTTAAAATGACCTTGCAACAAAATTTAGCTCAATGATTGGGAGATTAGGAGATATTACCAGTACACCACTACCACACTCCCCAAATTTATTCATTTTGCCATCAATAGACAATGATTCGGCAAATTGTCTGTCTCTCAATAATTAGAAAACTGGCATATCTCAGTGGTAAATCTGACGTGTAATTAAACCAAGGAATAGTAGCAAGATCAGTATAGTGGCAACAACAGTTTGGCAGAACTCACGAGATCAAAGGAATCAACGAACTGTGTTCACACACACACATTGTGGCAGCGGACAACGTATCGATACTAAACGGACAACATGTTATCAGCGCCAGCGGCTACACAAGTTTAATATATTGGAGTGTGGTTTTATGTTCTGTGATAAACTGATTACGTGTTGTTGTTATTGTGGCGACTGGCGTGTGAATAAAACATTGAAACCTCCCCCCTCCCCCCCCCCCCCCCCCCCCCCCCCAGTGCAGCCCCCGAGCAAAGTTAGAACCTGACAAAAAACTTAAAACAGGAATTTTCGGAGAGCATGGCACGCCTTTATTGAAAGCATGCATGATGCAACTTTTGTGCGATAAAACTCTTCGAATTAAGAACTCGTGAACAATTTTCCGTGGATCTACAGGATGTGTGTAGATCATGATCAAGGTCTGTAGCTGTATAACACTGAAGTAGGATAGTATCTAGATACTGCTCTCTATTTAGTGTTCTACAAATATCACGTCAGAAGCCCAACAAACTAGAGCTGCAGGATATCTAACTCCTTCAAGTGTTTCAGAGTCTCTTAAGTGACGTTAAATTAAATCATCAGCAGAATAATATGATCATACACGTGACACTCAGCTGACAACAACAACAACAAATCTAGTAAAATCCCCTGGACCCCCCCCCCCCCCACTCTTCTCAACATAAACAAAAACATATCACTTATCGTACATGTGAACTAAAACGAGCCTGTAGGGTGATTTATCCACTTTGATTTATCCACTTTGTAACTGGACATTTTTGGACTTTAAAGACACAATAATGTTGTTTTACATTACAGTACACCAGGGAGGGTGGGACAGTACTAACTGGTAGGATGTGAACATGTGTAACTTGCAGTCGCTACTAGTGGGGTGTGTGACAAGCCCGGATATCTCAGAAACATAAGACTACTGCTCACTAGTGGGTGACAAACCCGGATATGTCAGACACATGAGACTACTTGTAGTGCTCACATCTTGTTAACACTTTTCCGGTAAGTAACGTGGTACACTGTATACATGCTAATCAGGATACATCTCTTACACCATGATTATATCATCAGCTTTAAATCCTTCTTTGAAGATTAATAATGTATTCTTCAAGTCTCCAAAACCGACATTTGTAATCTACAAACTGTTCGACAGCAATAAACAGAGGATGGCTACAATTACGTAATGTTGCTCATATTTTTCCGTATCAAGCAACTACACTCCACTCTCTGCAATGTACCTCCACAGCTCAACACAGCTTTAATTATGGTACACCTTGTATCTAACTTCTTGATAATTAGACCACGTGTGTTATCAATGATCACGTGCCTTATCAATGATCACGTGCCTTATCAATGATCACGTGCCTTATCAGTGATCACGTGTTCATTGAATGGAGCAGGACCCTTATATAGTCGGAGGCGTGCGAGAGTTTCGTTACAAAGAACATGTGAGAACTGAGAAGGAGCCAGGAATAAGGCACGAGGCCCTGGCTGAACCCTGTGAGGGTGTTGGAACATTGTGTAACATTCCAGCAGATACTGGGTGTAGTTCTGAGCTATTGTCATGTGGCAGGATGTAATAACTGTAACCAACATGATCTACTGCACAAATAATCGGCTGTTAAAGTTTGGAAATTTGGCAGTGAAAACAAGTATCAAGTATGATTGATATTAGATTTCTTTACACAAGATTGGTACAGAGACCAATACAAAGGGTTTGCTCGTGGCATAATCAACTTAATAACACCAGAATGTGTGTGTGTCTGTGTGTCTGTCTGTGTGTCTGTCTGTCTGTGTGTAATTTCCGAACGGTTATACAAAAAAAAACGGTAATAGTTACGGGACTGGTTTTTTCGGTATAGTGCTGACAAAACTCTGACGAAGCCCATAAGCAAATTTTATAAAAATCGGCCGGTGGTAAGTGGTTTAATTGATGATTTTGTTCCAGAAATGTGACATAAATGGATGGGAGAGAGAACGAGGAGGATAACATGTACCGTAATTAGTTTAGCCCCACGTAATACTATAAGCTTAGAGCTCACTCTTGCGGCCGCTTTGTTTCAACTGTAGGGAGATTTCATACTTTCATAAGACAGCGTTATGCGTGATATCAAAAATATAATGCGGTTGTATACTTTTACATTGCAACTGTGACAGTAAAGTCCCGGCCGAAGGCACGGGTTACACTAGTTTTTTATACAGCCGTGCGAAATAGCGTGACAAGAACTAAGAACTTTTTAAGAAAATGAGCTGCGCTGTACAAATGTAGGTCGCAGAAAGAGGTATACACCCAAATTGTATCAAATCACATTTAAACTATAATCTATCTTACAATTAATTATAATTTAAATGAGTAATCCTAAAACCGCGCACACACACACACACAAGGCCGGTAGTAAGAAAGTATTTCAATACACGTATGAGAAAGTCACGACTACAAAGTAACACACATTCCTGGTCCGAAGCCAGGCAACCTATGATAAAACGTAACTACACTCGCCAAATATGTGCGTTACTATTTTAGTAACTGTAAACTGTAAACTAAGGAAAGTTAAAGGGTGTTGTCAGGTTATTATAGATAATAACCTAGTTATTATCTCCAGCTCAATTATAAAGGGGCCAGTTTTGGGTAATGAGAGGTACTACCCTACTATTTGTTAGGGTGAGTAGTATAGTGCAGAGCAAGCAGGTATCTTTTGTGGCGCTGTACTAGAGTGCATTATTTGTAGGAGGGAAACCTTACTACAGTTACATGTTATAATAGACCAGGTATTTGACAATAATGTAACCTATTAGTGGAGTTACTCTTGTTCAGAGACTTGAAGAGAGGTGGTGTATGTTCTTATCTTGTATGGTAATTTAGATTGTGATTGGGTTAAATTCAACAAAATAGCAATGTGTGTGTTTGTAGTTTGTACAGGTGTGTAAATCAGCAGCGGGTCAAGAAGCTTATCAGAGAGCGGTATTAGGAGGAGAGCAGTGTCTGTAAGATAACATTCCACAAATAATATAATAAACAAATTGATACACCATCCACAGCTTGCATACAAACGATTACACCAGCAAGTGTACTCACAATCCAACTCAGTACAACTCACCTATGTTGTACTTCAACAATACAGCAAAGAAAAACAGTGCCAAAACACTAGGACATAAGTATTTAAACTATCAACATAAGTTAAGGCAGTGCACACGTGACCTGCACACGTGACCTGTATGTGATCACGTGACCATGATTGACAATAGCTTCTCAGAGACAAATACCATGACTCTATAGATAAGGGCAACAATGCAAATGACCACCAGGTAATCGAGGTTATTATTATATAGACACGTACAGTGCATTCTGTTTTTAATGGTTCCATCTATTACCCATGATGTCCGGCATATTTCCGGCGCTATATTATTTCCGGCAGTTGTGCTGTCAACCCGGAAAATTATTTAAGTATCAAAGTAGTGGAAGTAAAGCTAACCTTAAGTTCAATACAGCTCAGAAATGACGCCTATGAAGTCCTATACAGCTCATAGCTAACTTGTATTAAGTTCAATGGTGATTAAATGGGATGCCGGACAGTATTGTGGATATCATTAATCTACTCTATGTAAACACGAAGGGCAAAGTTATTACACCTGATGGGGATACCGAGCTATTTGATATCCTGGCAGGAGTTCTTCAAGGGGATACGTTAGTGCCACCATACTTGTTCATTATAGCCCTTGACTATTGCATGAGACAAGCCTTAAGCAAGCACCCTGAAATAGGATTTACCATTAAGCCTTATAGGAGTAGGAGAGTTAAGGCGGAGAAGATATCAGACACTGGTTTTGCAGATTACATTGCTCTGATAGCAGATACTGTAAAGGAGGCAGAGACGCTGATGCTAGAGGTAGAAAGGGTTGCTGCTACAGTTGGACTTAGAATGAATAAAGGGAAAACCAAATTCATTACTCAGAACATCGAGAACCCTGATACCATCAAGTCCCTGGGTAACAGTACAATAGAGCATGTGGAATACTTCACCTATCTGGGTTCTAGAATCAGAGACAGTGATAGTGATATCAGGGTTAGGAAAGGAAGAGCATGGGGAGCATGCCACACACTCAAAAAAACTTTGGAATTCTAAGCTTAGAAAGTCTATCAAGATCAGAGTGTTTATAGCACTAGTGGAGTCGGTGCTACTGTACGGTTCCGAGACTTGGACTATGACGAAAAAGCTAGAGAAGATGGTTGATGATTGCTATACGCGAATGTTAAGAATGGCCCTTAACATCAATCAATATCGAGACCATGTCAGCAACCACAGCCTGTACGGTGATCTTCCCAAAGTCAGCTCCAAGATAACCCACCGAAGGCTCAGACTTGCAGGTCATGCTCACCGACATCCGGAGCTGACACTGAACAAACTGATCCCCTCATGGGCATACT